GTCAGATGACTTGGCCTCTGAACTCAATGAGGTATTGAGAACCAAGCAGATGTAAAAACACCAAGCAATCTTTTTTTCTCTATGCCTCTCCCTATCCCAACATAAAAAGTGCCTCCATTATCAGACAGCAGAAAAGGAAAACTTGCCAGGATTATATATATAATATTAATATATAATATATAATGTTTTATATATGTTGATGGGATGTGACATGCTTTGGTAAGTGTGGAGCTGATATTGTTGCCTGTGTAGAGTTGCTTTCTCATCTCCTCCAGGGTATTATCATCTTCTTTCCTTTGCTCTCATTCTGCTTTTTGAAACTCAGGCCTGGGTCACAGACTATCATTGTGATATTCCGTGGCACTGAGTTACCCTGAGAAAAGTGGATGTGATGATAGTTCTTCTTCTGTCGACATAGGCTGCCACCTTTACATGTTGGTTCCATTCTCATCTTCGTAAATCTCTGAAAGACCTCTGAGCTGCCTTTTCTTATTAATTGTTCTTATTTTTTTTAACTTTTATTTAATGAATATAAATTTCCAAAGTACAGAATATGGATTACAATGGCTTCCCCCCCATAATGTCCTCCAACCCGCAACCCTCCCCTTATCCACTCCCTCTCCCCTTCCATTCACATCAAGATTCATTTTCGATTCTCTTTATATACACAAGATCAGTTTAGCATACATTAAGTAAAGATTTCAACAGTTTGCTCCCACACAGAAACATAAAGTGAAAAATACTGTTTGAGTACTCGTTATAGCATTAAATCTCAATGTACATACAGCACACTAAGGACAAAGATCCTACATGAGGAGTAAGTGCACAGTGACTCCTGTTGTTGACTTAACAAATTGACGCTCTTGTTTATGGCATCAGTAATCACCCTAGGCTCTTGTCATGAGCTGCCAAGGCTATGGAAGCCCCCTGAGTTCACTGACTCTGATCATATTTAGACAAGGCCATGGTCAGAGTGGAAGTTCTCTCCTCCCTTCAGAGAAAGGTACCTCCTTCTTTGATGACCCATTCTTTCCACTGGGATCTCACTCATGGAGATCTTTCATTTAGTTTTTTTTTTTCCCCCAGAGTGTCTTGGCTTTCCATGCTTGAAATACTCTCATGGGCATTTCAGCCGGATCTGCATGCCTTAAGGGCTGATTATGAGGCCAGAGTGCTGTTAGGACATCTGCCATTCTATGGGTCTACTGTGTATCTCACTTCCCATGTTGGATCATTCTCTCCCTTTTTGATTCTATCAGCTAGTATTTGCAGACACTATTCTTGTTTATGTGATCCCTTTGGTTCTTAGTCCTATCATTACGATCAATTGTGAACAGAAATTGATCACTGGGACTAGTGAGATGGCATTGGTACATGCCACCTCGATGGGATTGAATTCGAATCCCCTGGTATGTTTCTAACTCTACCGTTTGAGGTAAGTCAGCTTGAGCATGTCCCGAATTGCACATCTCTTCCCTCTCTTATTCCCACTCTTATATTTAACAGTGATCACTTTTCAGTTAAGTTTCAGCACTTAAGAAGAATTGTGTATCGATTACAGTATTCAACCAAAAGTATTAAGTAGAACAAACAAAAAAATACTAAGAGGGATAACATATTAAGCTGCTCATCAACAGTCAGGGTGAGGGCTGATCAAGTCACTGTTTCTCATAGTGATCATTTCACTTTAACAGGTTTCCTTTTTGGTGCTCAGTTAGTTGTCACCTATCAAGGAGAACAAGTGGTATTTGTCCCTTTGGGATTGGCTTATTTCACTCAACATAATGTTTTCCAAATTCCTAACAGGGATCACTTTTCAGTTAAAATTTAAACACCTAAGAATAATTGTGTGTTAATTACAGAGTTCAACCAATGTTACTAGAACAAAAAAAATACTAAAATGGATAAAGTATTGCATTGTACATCAACCGTCAGGACAAGAGCTGATCAAGTCACTGTTTCTCATAGTGTCCATTTCACTTCAACAAGTTTCCCCTTTGGTGCTCAGTTAGTTGTCGCTAATCAGGGAGAACATATGATATTTGTCCCTTTGGGACTGGCTTAATTCACTCAGCATGATGTTTTCCAAATTCCTCCATCTTGTTGCAAATGAACATTTAGATTAAAAAAAAAACACAAAACCTCTCATGTTGGAGGAGAAGGAAAAGACACAGTAGCAGAAATGCATCTAGCATGGATGGGCAGAGTGAGGAGTCAGGCGTTATTGGCTATCTGCACTTGGAGAGGGTAGGACTGGATTTTAGGGAACTTGAGAGCCAGGTGAGCAGTTTGAATTTGATGAAAAATAGACAAGAGAGTCCAGCACGCTCTGTGGTGGAGACTAGCATGCAGGAAGGTTAGCAGAGACCAGAGGGACCCCTGTGGAAGGGAAGAAATCGAGGATGGGCAGAAGCAAAGCTGATACTGACACAGACTCAGTAAAGAACTCAGCCAGCTCCACAGGAGTTGCGGAGCTGGGACACGACCTTCTTACTCCCAGAGTGAAGGAATTCTCTTAGTTTGGGGGTGACTTGAGAGAAGATGACAGCAAAGGAACGTCTATTAGCAGAAGTCTCCGCACCAGAGTGATAAATCCTTGAGTTCTGAGAAGAAACTCGGGACACATCACAGCATTCATGATGGGGAGTCACTGCTGTTTCCTAAGCAATCTAATGCCAGGGGCGAAATGGCTATTTGAAAGTGGTGCCTTGTAAAGAATGCTAGTTACACCATGAGATGGGAAGCTAACCCATGGGTTCTATGGTTCGCAGTAAAATTCTCTGGCAGAGTGAGTGGCATAAATCCAAATCATTATTACACCTAACAGCATTGGTTTCCATATATTTTGCACTTGACTGGCACTGCAGCAATGTTTAAACATGCCCTGTTGCTTTGCATTCTTGAGACCACTGCTGGTGGTGTGCCGTGTTTCATTACCATTCTGCTGGTTGTCAGCATTTTTGTGATACAATTAGAGGCTTGTAATTCCCAGAACAAATGAGCCATTTCGAATATTGTGAAATGTGTAATTCAATATAATATGAGCCTGTAGCATAATTGAGTTTAGGGAAACAAATATACAGAAGTTTGTGCTGAACAACTTGACAGATGAATAACCTGCCAGTCCCCTTCTCTTCTGACGCAGTCATTGGTGTGGAAGTGACACCCACATAGAGTGACTGTTAAAAAGCAACCCACACCTGTCATTCCTTTACTGCCTTGTTAATACTGTCCTTGGCTTTTAAGAAGTAAGATTTCATCTCTCCCTAGGAACTTTGGGCAGTATAATCTAGATAAGTGGGAACTGTAAACACAAGCTCTAATATTAATAAAAAAAAAAACCCTTGTAGTAATGAAATCATTTTATTCTCCTATTTTCTTGTAACAGATATTCAGCCAGAAGTGAAAATTATGCATATTCTTTCAAGAACACACATGTGATTTATCCATTTAGGTCGAACTCATCAAACTGCTTTCAACTATCCTTCATGCTGTCTACTGAGACAGAGACCTGTAACAGCTGGGGCAGGACACTCATGAGCTGTAGGGGATTTACTAAAGCTGAAGGGGACTTAGAGCCCCTTACCTAACGAAGAGAGGCCATTTGTCCAGAGCTACATCAATCTGTGCACAGGTTGACCTACAACCAGGCTTTACAACACCCACTCACTGACTCCCCTGAGTTGCAGAGTGACCATTCAAAATCATATTGTGTGATGCCTGAAGAGTGCCGCTTGTTGAGGCTGTACCCACCCTGGGGTTGGAGAAAAATGCCCCAAAGTGCTCCTCTAAGCTTGTCTCATCTCTCCCATTGCCTTAGTCTTGATTTCTTACCTATTGCCTATTTCATTTTCCCTCCATGGGTTAATTCATTAAGAAACTCAATCTATTATTTATTTAAATGCAGATACATACTAACTTAGTTTTCAGATGGGAGAATGCATTATATTGCGAGCTGTCACATGTTCTGAAAGTGTGAAACTATCTATCTATAAAACTAGCCTTTCTTTAAGGCCTTTCTATCTTGGACTGTCTACTGTCATCTTTGGGGTGGTAGGGGTAGAATGTTTTGCTTATTATCTCATTTTTGCAAATGAGAATACTGAATTAGAAAGAATCGAGTAATGGAAATATCCCAAGAGTAGGGGAATGGTTAACACATGGCATATCTGTAATGGACTCTTTTAAAGTCTTTAGGCAAGTTGCCAAACAAATACATAATGACTATAATGACTCAGGGAAATGTTCACAATCTAACATTAAGTGATGAACAGGATGTACAACTGTGGAATTTCAGTATTTGGTATTCACTGTTTCAGCTCGTCATGGATAGCCCCGAGAGCCCACCGAACGCTGTAATGTTAGTAGTGACATACATCAAACCTCAGCCTCTGCACCCACAGAGTGGATGCTCAGGCAGAAGGAAAGACAAGCAGCTGCCATGTCCAGACATTCCCGCAGCCATGCGGCTTCTTTTGTTTTTACTTTCAGATATTCACTGACTTATTCTCAGTGATCGATTCCATTTCTCTGTAAAATGTGGTCCCCCCAGAGGATATCAACCAAATGCGGTTATGGAAATAAAAAGAAAATGAAACAGTCCAAAAGGTGATGATTTTTAGAAGATGTAAGTAAAACTTCGAGAGTGTAGAATGCCCAATTCACAATAACTTAAAATCGTGATGTGACTAAGGCTGGTGCACATTCTGTATGTAGACAAGAGTAAGAAATTTGGGGCCGGCACTGTGGTGTAGCGGGTAAAGCTGTCTCCTGCGGTGCCAGCATCCCATATGGGCGCCAGTTTCTAGTCTTGGCTACTCCGCTTCCAATCCAGCTCTCTGCTATGGCCTGGGAAAGCAGTAGAAGATGGCCCAAGTCTTTGGGCCCCTGCACCCATGTGAGAAGACCCAGAGGAAGCTCCTGGCTCCTGGCTTTGGGTCAGCACAGCTCCGACCACTGTGGCCAGTTTGGGAGTGAGCCAGCAGATGGAAGACCTCTCTCTCTCTCTCTGCCTCTCCTCTCTCTGTGTAACTCTGACTTTCAAATAAATAAATATTTTTTAAAAAAGAGTAAGCAATTTGACAAAATGTTGTATTCTAGGCAGTGCAAAATTGTTCAAGAGAAAAGGAACTTGGATTAAATCTGTGAAAGTGGCTAACTGGAGGTTCAGAGATATATGTAAAATTAAGTCTATCACATTAAGTGTTATGGTTTCAGAGAATATCAGGAGTTCAAGTGAACAATCTTATGAGCCTACAGGTGATGAAGTTGCTGGCATCACCATTTAAACAATTATTTATCATAGGCAAGTAGGGGAAGGCATGGCCATCCATGTGAATATATTTCCTAGACAGTAAAAATGGCTCTTGCAGGAGCTTGTGGAGGATACATTTTGAGTGTATAACAAATCTTACGTTCAAACAAAAGTCAATGCAAGTGAGTGTTTAATGCTAAGTCCTCTTTCAGTTTTGGGAAATCAGGCAGGCTCCACGATGGAGGAGCTACTTTCTAAACAAAATGCAAAATATTAAGGGGATAATTAAACATTTTTCACTAGTTGAAGGTGTTTTTCAGAGTGCTATTTAGGAAATTGGGAATGAACAAAGTGTATTTAATGATAAGAGTAGATTTTTAATGTTTACAGAGATTTACCAATGTTTGATTTATGTGTGTGTAAAACACATATAGATACGCAGACAATCTGGAAGGGTAAAGGGGAAGTGAGGGTGGAGAAGGAAGAGAGAGGAAGAAGTGAATTCACTGAAACCTAATTGTAAGAGATTTTTGCTTCTGCTGCTGGTGAAGTGTCGGGGGTTGGAATGACCTTCCTCTGCTCTCAAATGTTAGCAGCATGGGCATGCGATCTAAGAAAGAAGGAACAACCTTGGTGAGACTTGCAATTGCTTTCTCTCTGACTGAGGCAGTTCCTGAACTGATGTGTAGAGAAGTGGAGACAAATTGAGCACACCAGTCTTGCTGAAGTGACAGCGATAGCAGCGTGGGGAGGCTGATGTTGCTGGGCTTTGGGGGCAGTGCTGGGGATGCAGCATCTGTATAGAAAAAAAGCTCCAGAAATCTGTGAAAGGGTTCATCTCACTAAATATTAAACTACTGTTTCCCTGAATGAGCCTGTGCATGGTCAAGCAAGGAACAACTCCCCTGAACTCCTGGCTGTTTCACAAGATGAGAAGATATTAAAGTTCTGACCATCCAGAGCAGAAAGACCATATTGAACACTTTGGGCATTCCATTGTCTCAAGCAGAATGTCATGGCTTACAAATAGGACATAATAATCCCTAGAAGAAAAGCTACTGTGGATCAGGACTTTTGAGTTCTCATTTGGCACCATTGGTATTTTGGACCTGATAATTCTTTGTTGCAGAGGGGTCTGTACTATGCACTACAGGATGTTTAGTATTATCCCTGTTCTCTACCCACTAAGTACCACTGGCAGTCTCCAATTGTGAAAATTAAAAAAAAAAAAAAATTGTCCCCAGTTGAGAACCACGTCCATAGACTCTTCAAAACAGAACTTAAAAATACGCTTCAAAAGGGCAAGGGTGATTTGCAAGTCAATTAGTTGTCTGGCAAAGCACATTTAAATATTCTTGACAGAAAGACAACAGAATCCTTATAGTAGATAAAGTTGTATTCATAATGTCCAGCATACAAGCCGTGGAAAACATTGCGTGTACTGCACAAATTAAAATAAAGGTCTCATGTCCCCAGTTGCTGCGACTGTTTCTGGAAGGCAGCCCTCCATCGTCAGACTGTTTGAAGATTTGCTGTTGTGGAAACACTTGCCTTGTCCCCGTAACTTCTCCTTTCCAGGGTAGCCTGCACTCTACCTGATAATGATTGACATGCGGGTGTAAAGGTGGATTCCTTCACTTCAAGTTGGCAAATCTCTGAAGAGCTGCTTCAACACCAGAGCTTATGGCAGGGTATTCTGGTACTTTCTCTGGGACTACATTGCAGCTCAACTCCTCCTTCTATCCACTCTTACTGTCTTCCTCACCTTTTTGCTGTTGATTCCAAGGTAACCTCTAATAAAGGTTCTACTGCTGTGGGCTGCGGGTGCTGGGAGCTCCTGGCTAGTCTTATTTCAGGTTCTTCCCTCCATGTGTGAAAGAATTCAAAGGTAGAGGTGTAAACATGTACCGAAGAGCAGGATTTATCTGGAGCAAAACAGAAGTTCAAGTTCAACCACAAAGATGTGAGTTGAATAGACACATAAAAATGCAAGAACTCCCCAAACAAATAAAAATCCCTCTCCAAGGAAAAGCTCCCAACAGTGAAAAAGCCCCCCACAAAGGAGAAAGCTCTGACAAAGGAAAAAGGTACGTCAGTAAGGTTAGGCCTTCCGTTTATACCAGGGCAGATGTCCAGCATGTAACCTAATTTACTGTTCAGAAGGGGCAGAGTTAGGCGTGGGGGCTTGAGTGCTGCCCTTTTTTTTTTTTCTGTTTTAAGGAAGTATTGGAAGTGTCATGATGGGAGTGGGCGTGCTCCATGGTAATTTTATGATAATCACATTATAATGACCTAAAGGTAATGGTGGAGGGGGAAGAGCGCATCCTGCAGCCATATTGGATATTTCTAGCTAGCCCTGGCTGCAAGTTCACAACATTGTGGAACTCTGGTTTTGACTACTTGGAAAGGGACAGGGGCTTGCTGGTGCATGGGAGGTGGGCTTGCATTATGTACAGAAAATGGGGCCACACTGGGTTCTAGTCCCGGTCGGGGCGCCAGATTCTGTCCCGGTTGCCCCTCTTCCAGGCCAGCCCTCTGCTGTGGCCAGGGAGTGCAGTGGAGGATGGCCCAGGTGCTTGGGCCCTGCACCCTATGGGAGACCAGGAAAAGCACCTGGCTCCTGGCTCCTGCCATCGGATCAGCGCGGTGCGCCGGCCGCAGTGCGCCGGCCGCGGCAGCCATTGGAGGGTGAACCAATGGCAAAGGAAGACCTTTCTCTCTGTCTCTCTCTCTCTCACTGTCCACTCTGCCTGTCAAAAAAAAAAAAAAAAAATGGGGCTTGGCTGGTGCATGTAAAAGGAAGTAAGTTTGGATCGTGTATGGCAAGGGAGTTGTCATGTGGGCCTGGCCAGGTTGTCATATGAGTGGGGTTGGCAGTGGCTGTCGAATGTGAATTGTTTAGAGCTTTCAATCATTGACCCCCATGGTTAGGCAAAGAACTGTCAAGAGTGATTTGGCTGGGGCTGTCAACCCAAGTAGGCACCTGGTTTGCTGGAGCTGTCGACCTCAGTTCAACTGGAGCCGTCAATCATCCATCCACACTGCGGAGCAGGTGGGCAAGTTGCTGTCTGACCTTACACTCCCACAGCACTACATGATAATCCCCATCTCAGAGTTACATTTCAAGGGGCGTACAGCCTGCAACACAATATCAGTTAAAAAATCATCAGATATGTGAAAACGCAGGAACCTGCAACTCACAAGCAGGAGAAAAGTCAGCCAGTAGAGACAGAAATAGAAATGATGGGCATGATGCAATCACAAGAAACAGACTTCAAAACAACAGTGCTAAGCATCAGGGGCCTCGGAAGCTCCCCAGAAAATGAGCACTGTCATTTAGTTCAATTTTTCCACAAGGTCTCGAAGATCCTTCATCTGCTCGAGGATCAGAAGGAAAACGGGTACAACAGAAGAAAATCTCAACAGAGGACTGGAAGAACAAAAATGAACCAACTAGGCATGAGAAACTGAGATACAATAGGTGAAATAGAGAAGTCACTGGACGGTCTTGCCACATTAGACACTGCAGATGAATGTTCAGTGAAGTAGGAAACTGGGCAAAACAAACTGTTCAACATGAAGTATCAACAAAATGCTGACTAGAAAATAAATGAACGGAACTTTCATACCTCATCAGACAAAATCAAGTAGGATCATGTGTGTAAATTGACTTGCAAAAGGAAAAGAAAAAAAGCATCCAGGGTACACAAATACTTGATAGCTACACATTTGCCATATTTGTGAGGAATAAACTCATGGGTTCAAGAAATGCAACAACCCCCAAGCAAAATAAACACAAATAAAATCACATAAGGCATACATATAATAATCAAATTTCCAAAACCAAATGAGGAAAGGAGAAAATTTAAAGTAGCTAAAGAAATAGAAAGCATATACAAAGGAGAACTGTGATAGGAATTTTATTGACTTCTTAAGTTAAAAAATTCAAGAAAAAAAGAAAATGGAATGATTCTTAAAAGTGCTGAGAACGAAAAATAAATTGTCACTTTGGAATTCTACATATGGGAAAAATACCCTTCACATGTGAAGTTTTGATAGTAATATTTTGGCCAAGCTAAAGCTAAGAAAAGTTATTTGTAGCAAATTCATATTATAATAAATATTTTAGGAAATTCTTCAGCCTGAAAAAAAATGACACCAAGAGGAGACTTGAGTTTATGCAGTGACACAAGCATCAGAAATGTAAACACGTGGGTGAATATAGAGTACTCTCTCTCTCCCTCTCATTTCATTATTTCTTAAAAAAGTAATTTTTAGGGGCCGGCGCTGTGGTGTAGTGGGTAAAGCCGCTGCCTGCCATGCCAGCATCCCCTATGGGTGCTGGTTCGAGTCCCAGCTGCTCCACTTCCAATCCAGCTCTCTGCTGTGGCCTGGGAAAGCAGTAGAAGATGGCCCAAACTCCTTGTGCCTCTGCACACATGTGGGAGACCTAGAAGAAGCTCCTGGCTCCTGGCTCCTGGCTTTGGACTGACACAACTCTTGCCATTGAAGCCAGTTCAGGAGTGAAACAGATAATGGAAGACATCTCTCTCTCTCTCTCTCTCTCTCTCTCTGCCTCTCCTTCTCTCTCTCTGTGTAACTCTGACTTTCAAGTAAAATAAAAAAATCTTTTTAAAAAAGTAATTTTTAGTTTAAGGCAAAGCTAACAACATATATTGTGGGATTCAAAATATGTGTATAATTAAAATATATGATAATAGCACAAAACCTGGGCAAGATGGAAGTGTACTGTTGTAGGTTTCTTGCAGTGTATGTGAAGTTGTACAATTTGAACTTAGATTGTGATAAGCTAAAAATAACCCCAATCAAATAAAACCAACAAAGGTGATCGCTTTAGCAATGCTAAAAATAAAAAATCCAACAAACTATCCAATCTAACAAGAGGGAGTGTGGAAGAAAAAGAAACAAAAGCGAGATGAATAGAAAAACACCAAGCAATATGATAGACTTGGTTCAACAGATCAATAATTATAATAAGTGAAAATGTACAAAACATTTCAATTAAAGCAAAGAGATTATGCACAAGGAAACAGAAAGACTATATAAATGCTGTTTATTTATAAGAGATATACTTTAAACATGAAGAAAAGCTAGGTTAAAAATAGAAAGGCAGGTGCTGGCGTTGTGGCATAGTGTGAAGAGCCACTGCCTGCAATGCCGGGGTTGGCTCGTGCCGGAGCTGTTTCCCTTCTGAGCCAGCTCTCTGCTGATGGCCTAGGAAAAGCAGCTAAAGATGACCCAGTGTTTGGGCCCCTGCCACACACATGGGAGACTCAGATGAAGCTCCTGGTTCCTGGCTTTGACCTGGCCCAGACTTGGCTGTTGTGGCTATCTGGGGAGTGAACCAGCTAATGGAAGATCTCTCTTTCTCTGTCTTTTCTCTGTTTCTTTCTCTCTTTCTATAACTCTGACTTCAAATAAAAATGAATAAACATTAAAAATAGAAAGCAAAGGAGGATGTAGCACGTAAAATTAATCATAAGAAAACTGGTGCTGTGGGCAAATTTTTGTTCCTCCAAAATGTTTATGCTGGAACTCTAACCCCACTGTGACTGTATATGGAGATAGGATCTTCAGGGAGATAATTAAGGTTAAAAAAGGCCATAGAAGTGTGGGCCTTATCCAATAGAACTGTGTTCTTAGAAGAACAAGTCAGGGGGCCGGCACCGTGGCTCACTTGGTTAATCCTCCGCTATATGGTATGTGGTGCTCACATACCATATAGGTGCCGGGTTCTAGTTCCGGTTGCCCCTCTTCCAGGCCAGCTCTCTGCTGTGGCCCGGGAGTGCAGTGGAGGATGGCCCAAGTGCTTGGGCCCTGCACCCCTTGGGAGACCAGGAGAAGTATCTGGCTCCTGGCTTCGGATCGGCATAGCTCCGGCCGTAGCAGCTATTTGCGGGGTGAACCAACAGAAGAAAGACCTTTCTCTCTGTCTCTCCTTCTCACTGTCTAACTCTGCCTGTCAAATAAAAAAAAAAAAAAGGAGAACAAGTCAGCCTCTGTCTGTCCCTCTCTCTCACAACATACCTGCTGGTAAGGCTATGTGAGCACATATCAAGAAGATGGTCATCTGTAAGTGAGCAAGAGAGGCTTCACCAGAAACCACATATGCTGGTGTCTTGATCTTGAACTTGTAGCCTTCAAAATGTAAGAGAATAACTTTCTATTTAAGCCAGACTTATGTGGTATTCTGTTGTGGTGGCTGAGCAGAATAACATGGATGGAACAGCTATGTTCGTTCAAATGAGCACCAACATCACACTGACTGGAAAAGAATTGAACAGAATTTTGGCATCCTGTAGGACAATATCAAGTAGGAGGATGTGTGTTACTTGAGATTTTAGAACAAGGACTATTATGAGCAATAAGAACAACATTTCATAACCAAAAAGCATGTTAATCAAGAGAAATGCATTAATACATGGAGGTGTTTTCCCAGATCTTCCTTCAAAGACAGATTTGCTGTCTAGTTGTGTGGAGTGTGATCAGCAAGTAGATTGCTCAGTCAATGTCTTCAGGGCTTGCGTTGGCTTCAGAGAGCAGCCCAGCCAGTCAGACCTTCCCTGGGGTACACTGTGTTTGCAGGGAAGCAGGCTGCAAAGACTCAGATGCTTTGGCCCAAGATGGAATCATGCAAAGGGTGATGCCCACTCCAGGACTCCCCACTAACCGTCAAGCTACGACTCAGGCATAGGTTCTCAAATCAGGAAATTTTATGATGCAGAAAACATGGTCCTTACTAGATCCTTACTTGGAGTTGCATTGAGACTCTTCTAATGGGCTTTGTCAGAGACTTAGTTACGTCTGTGCCCCCAGCTCCTTGGATCTGCTGAGCCTATGGACCAAAAGGGTTTTGCACAGAGCTCTCTTCTGTTCTGGAACACTGGATTTTTGAAACAGCATATATTGGATTTAAGAATATTGCTCCACTTGATCATCAGCTGGCTTGACATCAGCTGCCAAAGAGGCCCCCACAAACTGGGCCTTTTTCTTCTTTTTCATGTTAATTTATTTTCATCCACAAGAGAGAGACAGAAAGGGAGAGGGAGAAGAAGAGAGAGAGAGAGATATGACTTCCATCTGCTGGTTCGCTCCTCAAATGCCTGCAATGGTAAGGGCTTGGCCAGGCTGACGCCTGGGGCCATGAGCTCCATCAGGTCTCCCACATACTTGAAGGGGGCCCGAGTACTTGAGCCACCATCTGCTGCCTCCCAGGAAGTTGCATTAGAAGTGGAGGAGCTGGGACTCAATATGGGATGCAGGTGTCCCAAGCACTTGCTTAACATGTGGCACCACAACAGTTGCCCACCGGGTCTTTCGCTTAGTGGTTGGAGATACAAGGTACAACAGCTTGTCCCTTACTGTAGAGGGAGCTGTAGAGAGAGACTACCCTGATGTATGCTAGATCCTCAGACATGGGAATATGAAATTTTATCGTTGTGGCAAGAGGGTGACTCCCAACACCCGGCAAGAAGAGATTTCATTAGGCTATGTAGAGATCGCATATAACATGGGATATCTGATGTCTTATGATTTTTCGTGATGATTTGGAAACAGAAGTCACAGCTTTTAATTCTAGAATCTTTTCCTAGTGTTCAAATACTGGTATATTTCCTTTTCATTTAAACTATTATCCTGGAAACCTTTGAAGCAGACAGAGGTGAAGCAAGCTGCTCTTAGCCTTGAGCTACAGAGTCCCTCTCGTTTCTATGGCTGAGAACAAGTCTCTTTAGGGTATCTGAACTGCTCACAGGCCCTCAGTTGCTGCTAGGGGAATATCCTTGGAAATGTCATGAAGAGGATCACGCTTAGCTGCAATTGTGGCCTCTCTTCTCGGCAGCGATTCTGTGATAATAAATGTGTTTAAAAATTCATTGCAGTGGAGAATGTGTACATGGTGGATGTTTTGAATTTGTGTCAGTAGCATAAATAATTTCACATTTCAAATGGAATTTCTACTAAGACACTCATGCTGGAACATAATGTAAAACACATATAGATTTGGACAGATACTGCTGCTTTGTTTTAAAAAATTGGCATAGACAAAATTGTGTTATTCATATCAACTTTTTCCATTGTTTTGGAACTGGAAATCATCCCTCTGGCTAGTGTTGAATGAATGTGCCATGAAATGTGCATCTAGCTTAATAAGAAATGTGGGCATCTGACCTCCCAGTTTTACCTTCTCTCCTTCAGGATCTTATTGCCCCTTTCACAGGCTCTGCTCTTCTTTACATATTTTAATTTTTTTGGTGGCCAGGTGGAGCTATCTTACTTCACTGAGTTCTTCTTTGTGTCTTACGGATCATCTTGCGGCAGGTATCTGATCTGAGTTGAAGGATAGGCGAGAGTTTGGGCTGGAGATGTTATACGTCAAGTTGTCCAAAGGTAAAGCTCCAAGAGTTTTAGTCAAATTTGGAATATGAAGTAACAAACACTGGTTCCAGAATGTAAGAGGTCCAATAGCAAAGCCAGCCAACCACAGAATGAGAGATCGAGGTGCAGGAATCCAGACCAAGTGGTCAGGAGAATGAGAGGCCAGAGTTAAGGCAGGCAATACAGCACCTGGGAACATGAGCATTGCTAGGGGCAGATTTGTCCTTAAGATCATAATACTTGTCACTTCACGTGTGACATTAGTGCTTGCCACCCCCACTGGCAACAAATAGAGCTGCGTTTCATTCACATTGTGAGGCATAATTTGTGCTTAAAAATTATACACTGTTATAGTAAATATGAGTCTCAAGCTACAAATTTTGAACAGCTAAACTGAATTTGTATCTTGGTCTCCCTTTCTCTCCTTCGCTAGTGTTACAGCCGATTTCTGGGAGCAAGCGTTTGTTAGATTAAGCATTTCCTGTCATCCATCAGGGCACCCTGCTGAGAGATCAGCTCTCACTGCTCCCTCCATACCCCCTCCAGTGTCTCTGGACCTCCTCAGAACAAGGAGTTATGCTGTTCCCAATACACCAACACCAATGTGGGGGTCTAAGGTTTCGCATCTTTTTCACATGATATTCAGTCTATCAGTAGTCAGTTTCCTCCAGCAAAAATGCAACAAAGATGATAAATACTGGGGTAATGCTTAATTAGCATTATACTTTTATACATACATATATATACACATATGAATGTATATAGCTATCTATTTATGTCTATCTGTATAACTACCTGTGTAAAGTGAGAGACTAAGGAGTTATTTCTTTGCTTTAAAATATTGCCATAAATCAAAATTATTATCCATAAGCAATTAAGCAATTGTTTCATGAAATTGTGAGAGACGGCAAGTCTGAGATATGTAGGGCAGGAAGGAAGCTCAAGCAAGAGTTGCTGCAATCATTTCTGAGATTAGGGTCCAACAGGCAAGCTGGAGACTCAAGCAGTACTTCTGTGTTATACTCTCAAGGCAGAACCCCTTCAGTTGATTGGACGTGGTCCACTCTCGACTTAACACCTGCTGATTGCAAGCGTTAAGCACATCTACACAATCTCTTCATAGCAATGTCTGGATCTGTGCCTGACCAAATAACTGGGAGTTGTCACCGTCCGGCCAGGTTGACACATCAATGGACCATCACCCTGGACTCTGGTACTGTGGTTCCCTGTGCCCAGACACACTCGGAGTGCTGCCTCCTCCACCACTTGCTGCCTCTTCATGCTCCATGGAGGTGAGAGGGAAAGGAGCTGCAGGCTCCCACGTCTGCTCTTAGTTTCCATTTTGTGCTCCTGAACTCACCCAAAAGATCAGCTGTCAACTTCCAGCTGAGTTCCCACCCCTTCCGCTCAGACTACCCTCCTCTACTGGTCACACATCAGGAGCAGGCAGCTTTACGCGTAATTAGTATGTTTTTCTCTGCAAAATCAGCTTCTGTGCAGAGTCTTTGTAGCTATCCTGAGGCCTTGCTTGTGATATTTCAAATTTCTGGCTTTTTCTTCTTTCTCTTGGTTTTCACTTTGGCAACAATGAGTGCAAAGTGGTCTACATGACAATTGGAGAAGGGCCAACTACAGTAATCTCCCCCTTACCCACAGGGCATGATTCCAAGATCCCCAGTGGAGGACTGAAACTGAGGATGGTACAGAACTGTACACCTTAATACTTTTTCCATCTTAACTAAGCACTTACTGTGCACTGTGGCCACAGATTTGTTAGTTTAAGGTGAGACAGCCAAATCAGTATGAATTTCTTTTTCCTTCTTCCCAATTTCATGGATAGAAGATTTTTTCTCCCACTATAGATCTTAGCAATCTCAGGATACGTTTTTGTTCTTTCCTTATTAAGTGGAAAACTCACCTTTGCTCTTAAGGAAGCACTTCACAGCTTCTGTTTGACATTCTGAATTGCCAGCATCACCGCTTTGATGCTTTGGAGTCTCTTTCAAGGAAAATAAGGGTCACTTGAACACAAACACTGCTTTACTGGGACAGTCTCGATCTGATAAATGGCTTTCTAGTGAACAATGTGTGGGTACCACACACAGTGTGGATGAGCTGTAAAAAGAGGTAAAATTCACCTTCTGGGTTGGAAGGAAGAAGATTCCATTATGTTACTTGGAACTGCATGCAACTAAAACTTATGAATTGTTTATTTCTGGAATTGTCCATTTAATATTCTCAGGCTGCACTTGACCAGGGGTAACTGAAACCACAGAAAGAAAAACTATGGACAAGGGGAAGTTTCTGTAATACCAAAAAATAAGGGACATTTTTAAAAAGTATTATTTAGCCCTTGAAATTATTACATACCTTCAAATAAATTATCTTTCTCATCTTTCTCTGACCCGTTGGGGCAATCCAGTTCCCTAATTGCATTATTTCAGGTGGTCGTCACCCACAAAACCATAAGAAGGGGCAGTGGCTGACCTTCCTCTGGGCTGAGATAGCAAACAATTTGGTGGTATACTGAGGGGTGAGATACTGAGCTGGCTCCCCGACATTAATCTCCAGTGATGCTGTCTCCTAATTCAAGTCCTGTCTCTGCATCTCTTCTGCCAGAAGCGAGGGGAAAAGAGTCTGTCCCATTGCAGGACCAGGAGACTTCTCTGTTAAGCTCCTGCTGGTTTTCTGAAGCATTCCGATTCCCAATCAGTGTGTGAGCTTACATCACAAGCTGTGAGAACAGGCTGCCTTAATGCTTTTCTTACAGGGAAAGCAGAACAAGGGCAACAACACAGCAATGTCAGTTACAGGACCTCAGCTGCCCTCTGAGAAGTCCTCGCCTCCTCATGGAAGGAGCGCAGCCTTCGCCAAGCACAAGTTCTGTGTGCACTCCTGGGCCTTAAATGTGAATGCAGTGCTCTGAGCATGTCGTTTGGAAATGGGATTTTAGTCTCTTGTCGGCTGGATCTGGTGGTGCTTCGATCACTCCTCTGCATACTTAGAATACCTCTGGGTCCAGGCTACAGGTTGTAAATCTGGTTTTCCGCACTCTTCTCATTAAAGTAAAGGAAGGACAACTCATAATTTTACATGTTGTGTATCACAATGTGACAATTTCATAAATTTGTACATTATGTGATCAACAAACTAGGGTAATTATATTGTCATATCATACGTTTATCATTTTTGTATGGCAAGAAAAAAAAAACCTTTAGCTATTTTGAAATATACAGCTGTCACCCTGCTGTACAATAGAACACCAGAATTGTTCCTTCCATCTATCTGTAACTTTGTGTCTATTGACAAACTTCTCCCCATCCTTTCCTCCCCAAGTCCTGGTAACAACTATTCTACTCTCTACTTTTATAAAGTCAACTTCTGAGATTCTGCATATGAGTGACAATGTAAGGCATTTGTCTTTATGTGTGTGACTTATTTTGAGTAATGGAATGCCCTCTAGGCTCATCCATGTCGTAACATGTGACTGGATTTACACAGAGAACCTAATCTACCAAGAAACTACAAATCCGCATCCTTCCTTTCTCCTCCTTTCACTCTGTATCTGCCTGGGACATTTCAAGAATCTTGTTTAATTTTTTTCAATCACAGCTCAATACTCTCCAAGATTTTGCAAGTCAGCCATGATGTCTGAGAGTCCAACCATCCCCTCTTGAATTTTAGTCATTACCTTCAGTGGATTTGGTTCTAATCACAGGATTTTTAATCAGTACATGAATATATTATATAAGGATCTCTGGATTTTTGATAAACCTCTGCATATATTGGGCTCAAAGTCTAATATAAATACCAAGTGTCTAAAAATGTAAAATTTAATAGCTACTTTAAGGCACCATTCTACTGGGGTGATAGATATTGTATTTGGGATTCTTCTTTTCCAATTTCCCCTAGGGTAGTATTTGAGTTTTGAAGTCACTTGGCAGCAGACATCTGTAGTAAGATTACAGAACATGTGATTCTGAGTTCAATATTGAAGTAAATGTCTATATTTGTGAATGTACATTGGTTCTATTCCTGGTAGACCTGGGGTGATCTAAGGACATTTTCACATACACATGAACATGAACAGTCTTAATATTCTAATAATATGGCTAACAATGCAGAGGGAAGCAATAGATTGTTTAGGTTAGCAGATGAAACTTTGGAGTAAGAAAGGGAATACTTATATTGAAATCTGCCATGGCATAGTAACACTGTTTTGTGGGCCCTCATTTGGGCTTGTGTTTAGCTCCCAGGTTAAGGAGATTATAGCCATAAGTAGTCTGTTTTCAGAAAGGGACACTCAATGGAAAAAACTTCATTGATAAAGCACTCTCCTGTTGCTCAAGGAAGATAAACTCAACCTCAAAATCTTGGAAATTAGATAAAATCCTAAAACAATGGAATTAATGGAGTTCATAGGTGCTGGGAGGAGAGCAGTGAGGCAATCGAATGGAAGAATGTATTTTACAACGTGGTGGTTGTAAAATACTCTACAGTTAAAATGGTGAAGTTCCTGATGTACAAGGGTGCTTCGGAAGGTTCATGGAAAATGTAATTGAAAGATCAACTTTCTTTTGGTGCCAAATTTGAAATTCATGCATACAAGTATGTGTGTGTATGTTCCTTTAGTCTCTATAAAGAAATATTTTATCGGATATCACAGGCAGAACTTGGAGAGACTTTATGGAAACACTTTTACACATTTTCTTGCATATAAGACCAGGATATCTACAGTGGTCTCAGAAGAGTGATTATGAAAATTATATCAAAGTGTACATGAAACTCTGATACTGAGACTGCCATAAATTCCACCCCTTCCCCCTCCCTCACTGCTTGGGCAACTGGATTACATTTCCCAGCACCCCTTGCAGTGCAGTCTGACCATGTGATTGAGCCAGTAGACTGTGAGTGGAATCCACATGGGCTACTCTTAGGCCTGGCCTATCCAAACACCCCAGGGGCAATTCTTCATGTTCCTTTATTTTCCCAATCGACACTTGGAGACCATAGATGGAAAATGGAAGTGACAGAGAAGGGAGGGAATTTTGATGGTGACCCCTTGAAGAGGTATCACTCAACGCTCAGCAACATTCGTTTTGGACTTCACCTGGGTGAGGAGCTTATTGATTTAGGCCCTTGAGGTTCTGCAGCCCTCTTGTTTTAGCAGCAG